TTTTTTTTTTTTTTTTTTTTTTTTGGCAAGCAGGCATTCCTACGTCTTCTAAAAGGATCTAATTAATGTATAATGCAGATGCACAATACACACCAAAGGGGAGGAAGCAGTGGCTCAGACGACAGAGAAAACTGTTAATTTTTTCTTGTCCTGCCTTAAAATAATTTTTTTCTATCATAAACGACCAACAAACATTAGCTAGTATTATCAATATTTTATTATTAACATTGTAAGTCACATTCCAAAATATGGTACTGTCCCCATCTATGAAATAAAGAACTAAAAAACAAAACCAAAAACCAAATCACTATGCTGTACACCCGAAACTAACGCAATATTGTAAACCAACTATACTTGAATTAAAAAAAAAAAAACTAAAAGTGTTACTTTAAGAATTCTACCTTAAAGACAGTAGTTTAAAGTTCACCAGAGGCCCATGTACACCCAGTACTCGCGACTCGACTCTGCGCCTGGGCTTAACAACCCATTTTCATTAAGGTAAAGAAACTGATGTGACGCTCCGTTTTCCTTCTGCGTCCTGGGTATTGTTTTAAATTTTAAGCAAAAACGATTCCTGAATAACCCCAATGCACGTCGTCCCCGCGGTCTGCTCTCCTCTCTCCCCGGGACGCGACGGCGGAAACAGGAAGCGCGGAACAGCAGCCGCTCACCTGGCGCCCGGCCAGGAAGGAGGCCGAAGGGTTCATAGGTGTTTCCTCCGCCCCCGGAGACAGTCGCTGTGCGCAGCGTCACCCTAGAAACGCCATCGGCGCGCCTACCCAGAGCGGTGGGGTCGAGCCCCGAGCCCCGGAGCCCCGCACCCTCGCTGGCCCAAGCAACCTCGCCCAAACCGCCGGCCCCGCGGAACGCGCCCGGCCCACTCGGCCTACGGCGTAGCCGAGCGGCAGACCCGGCTCTCGCGACACCTCGGCGGCCGCAAGACCCCGCTGGAGGCCGGTTCCCACTCGGCCTCGTCGGGAGCGGCCCCCGACCCCCTCCTGGCGTTTTGTTCTTCCAAATCCGGGCCTGGGGGCTCTCAAATGGTTTTACCTGGAGATGTAAACGTCATTATCCCGGCCCGCAAAGAACCGTTCTTCACCATGACTCTGGGAATGATGGAGCAAATGAAGGGTTGTTTCTGCCCTGTCGCCCTGGCGTGTGACCATGTGCTCGCTTACTTATTTCCCTCTTTCCCCCCTAAACTGTGAGAACG